AGCTTGAATCAGTCGGCCCATTCTCCTCTGACCTCTAGCATCAACTTTGCATACCATTCTTTGTAAACTCTAGAAATGGTTGTGCGTGAAAATCCCAGTAACTGAGCAGATTGTGAAATACTCAGACCGGCCCGTCTGGCACCAACAACCATGCCACGCTCAAAATTCCTTAAATCACCTTTCTTTCCCATTCTGACATTCAGTTTGGAGTTCAGGAGATTGTCTTGACCAGGACCACACCCCTAAATGCATTGAAGCAACTGCCATGTGATTGGTGGATTAGATAATTGCATTAATGAGAAATTGAACAGGTGTTCCTAATAATCCTTTAGGTGAGTGTATAACCTGGCTGAATATCAAGTCTTCATCAATGATTGTCCCTACAGGACTTTGTAGAGTTTTTGTGGTTGTTATGGCCAAAACACTTTCGCAGCTTTTCTTAAAATTTGTGATGCGATTTATGTTCTATTTGAGTTTTTTTGTGGAAAAACTGCATTTATTGGTAGAATTGCAAGCTCAGGCATTTTTTAAACCACTGCCATTGAAAAAAGAGATACAACTACTTTGTTTTTGTAGTTCTTTTTATATCACATTTCAGTGCTCATTGATCTTTCGGTGCTTAGTTTTATTTATTTATAGGCCCTGGAAAACCACCGGAGAGAAGCACAAAGACAAGTTAAAACCTAAGTCACCAACTGATCCTTTCCCAAGAACAGCTCAGTGATGACAGAAGGCATTGACAAGCTGATGCAGAAGAAACTGAATGAAGGAGACAGGAACTAGAAAAATCGTATGAGGTGAAGTCAGAATTCGGAACACCCTACAAACCAGCAATGGCACCAACGTTCCCTCAAGTAGTGCTGCTCCCTCCAGTAGTGCTGCTCCCTCCAAGGCAGTTGTACCACACACAAGGGATCCCTCATGGGGACGAGGTACCACCATGCCCATCACCGGACCTCCAGGAACATAGTGCCTGGAGGACCTACCTTAAAGAAGACCAATAGTGCAATGGGTCACCACCACAGAGCTGAATAAGGTAGCTCAGAACATTGCCACATTTACTCCTAACCCCATGGAAGGCCATGACACTCATACCTATCTACAGCGCATTGACTTGCACCTTCAAAGACTGGACAATGTGACCAATGACCAATCACATCCAACCTAGAGGTCCACGCCAGACCCCAACCTAACCTTGGAAGGCAGTCATCCTCAGACACAACCACCAACCCACGATAATGGTTGGAAGGCAGCAGGCCCCAGTGAATGCTACTCTGGTCCATGTCCACAGCAGCAAAATCGGTGCAGGAAACAGCGCTACCGTTATAGATGCAAACCAAAATCGATGGACAGTTGAACAGACAAGGAGACAGTTCGGGGAACCAATTCCCCAATTCAGGCTGTCCCCCATGATCTCAACCGGGTCTGTGGCAGAACCATCACAACAAAAGGAGTTATGAATCGGACTCAGGGCCTGGACAAACCGCTAATAAGAACATAAGAACTATACAATGAGAGGAGGCCATTCGGCCCATCAAGCTCGCTTGGGGAGAACTTAACTAATAGCTCAGAGTTGTTAAAATCTTATCTAGCTCTGATTTAAAGAAACCCAAGGATTCAGCTTGCACTACGTTATCAGGAAGACTATTCCATACTCTGACTACACGCTGTGTAAAGAAGTGCTTCCTTAAATCCAGTTTGAAATGTTCTCCCGCTAATTTCCACCTATGGCCACGAGTTCTTGTATTTGAACTAATGCTGAAGTAACTATTTGGTTGAAAAGCATCCAAACCTGTTAGAATCTTATAGACCTGGATCATGTCCCCCCTCAGTCTCCTTTGCTTGAGGCTGAACAGATTTAGCTCAACTAACCTTTCCTCGTATGACATTCCTCTAAGACCAGGAATCATTCTTGTGGCCCTACGCTGCACCTTTTCTAAGGCCGCAATGTCCTTTTTAAGATATGGTGACCAAACCTGCACACAATATTCTAGGTGAGGTCTCACCAAGGAATTGTATAATCTTAGCATTACCTCCCTTGACTTAAACTCCACACACCTGGAGATATACCCCAACATCCTACTGACCTTTTTTATTGCTTCCCCGCACTGGCGAGAATGAGACATGGGAGCATCAACATACACACCAAGGTCTTTCTCATAATCAGCTACCTTTATTTCATTAGGTCCCATAAAATACCTGTACTTTATATTTCTGCTCCCTACATGGAGTACCTTACATTTGTCTATGTTAAATTTCATCTGCCAGGTATCGGCCCAGTCACTAATTAAATCAAGATCCTGCTGTAGCTGCTGAGCCGCTAGTTCACTATCTGCTACACCACCCACCTTGGTGTCATCTGCAAATTTCACTAGTTTACTGTATATATATTGGTGTCTACAGTATGTCATTTATGTAAATTAGGAATAATAGTGGTCCTAAAATTGAACCCTGCGGTACCCCACTATGAACGCAGGCCCACTGTGACATTGTGCCTCTTATAACTACTCGCTGCTTCCTATCCGTTAACCAGTTATCAATCCAGGTCGCTACAGTTCCTAAAATACCTGTCGCTTTGAGTTTAAGTGAGAGCCTCTTGTGGGGGGCAACATCAAAAGCCTTTTGGAAATCTAAGTAGATGACATCATAGGCCTTCTTATCATCAACTTCCTGAGTAGCTTCCTCAAAAAACTCCAACAGATTTGTTAAACAGGATCTACCTCTCCTAAATCCATGCTGGCTATCCCTCAAAATGTTATTTGAGTCCAGGTAATCTAACATTTTCTCTTTGATTATAGCCTCCATAACTTTACCAGTTATACAAGTTAGACTGATTGGCCTATAGTTTGACAAATTACTTCTATCCCCTTTTTTGAAAATGGGCGTTATGTTGGCATGCTTCCAATCAGAAGGTACCACACCTTCAAAATGAAGATGAGTAGGTCTTGCTCCAATTACTGTGTGACTTCTTCACATAGCATCTACTCAAAAGTCCAGAAGATTTTTGAAAGTAATGTCCAAGGTGACTAGGATGGTGCCGTAAATCATGCAGAACCCCACAACAATCACCTGAACCCGATCAAGAAATACCAAGCACATGGAAAGCCTGAAAAACCCACCAACCAAGCTCTGCTAGACAGTGTTCAGGACAAAGCCAACAATTATGGATAAGCCACATTTGAGCCAGAAAGAGGACAAACTTCAACATCAAATCTTCTCCAAGCTCCCAATAAAGAAAAAGTCTCAGATAGGGTAGACCCAGGTGGTGGACTCGACAACTGATATCTGGGTGCCCTTGAAATGTCTAGTTTATTTTCAGTACCCTTTTATTTTGTAGGTTTGTTGTTTTTCGTAAGGACCTGGGGTGGTTCAGACATGCCTGGGAAATTACTGAAGAGGATCCGGTTATGTACTTTTCTTTGTCCTGTTTATTTAATTTCAGTTGTTCTCTGGTGTTGTTGTCCTCCATGACTTCTCCCTTTTCTCTTTGCATCTGTATTCACAATCTTTAAAGTCTGCATTGCCTCTGACTGTCCTATCCCTAGCACTACCTTTTCACTTCAATCCTGCCTAACTTCTCCAGCCAGCTCAAACCACCTTCGGCCACCTGTGGGTCAGCTCTGGCTCACCGCACCTCCTAATCTGACCTCTTGTTTTCTGCTCCCCACAGGGAGGATGATGCTGCACCTCCCACTATGGTTAATATGGATAGGAGGAGTGAGGTCCAGTTTGAGACGGTGCTCCCTGGACTCCTTCAGGCATCATTTTCCATTAGTCAATCCCCCAAAACTTTTCAATACCTCTGGCCACCACAGTCCATGTTTCTATCACTGATGGGTGTCCCAGAGATCATATCCCAGCCCTTTTATTCCTCTCCTTCCCATTCACTTACCGTACCACCCATATTGTCAAGTGATGGGAAGTTTTGTATGTCTTGTCATTTATCTATGATCCCTTATAGCTTTTGGTTGCCTTAATGATGGCAGTACCATCATCAGCCGAATGGGAGGATATGTAGGATCTCACACACACCCCCACTAAGAACAAAGCAAAGGAAGGCCATCATTCCAAGATTTAGGACCCTATGAATAATAACCTGGGCCTTCAAGATACACATTAGGGCAAGCTGGTACCCTTAGTCTAAGGGGGGATGTACTCTTAGGAACTGATAAGAGTGACACAAAGGGTGCTGGTGTTCAGGAATGGAACATGCACCCCCCTCCCTCCTCACACACAGTACCTCAAAGAGAGGGGGACTTGTTTTAAGATTAGATCTTGTCTAAGTGCTTACCATTTATCAGTATAAATATCTAAATGTTATGTCTTTATGTTCCTTCAGATAATTTTAATAATTTTGTTACACTTATAAACTTGCCTCATGGATTATTACCTCACCTAAAACATTATTTTTATATATATATATATACATACAGTATATATATGTATATATATACACACACACATACATACATACACACACACACAGTGGTACCTCGGTTCTCGAACTCACTAGAACTCAAATTTCTTGAAAGTCGAACAAACCAGTTTGACCTAGAACTCGATCTGAATATCAGAAGTCAAACCGTGAACGCTGATCTAATATAAAATGTACACGCCAGGAAATGAGTCATACTACAATGCACGCAATGACCGGACTGGGGAAACAAACTCAAACGTGGACTTAATACAGAGGACTAATGACAACAACCAGAAACAGCTGATCACATGGGGATCCCACACGAGGTTAATGAGGGGGTGTGGCACACGGAAGGAGTGGACGATTGGGCAGGACAGGGGTAATGTTGGGATAAGATCTTTATCGTTTTGGAAGCCATTAAGAAAAAAATGCTCCTCTTGTTTTATCCTATTTTGTTATTTTGTGTTTAAATGCTTAAAAAAAAAAAAAAAAGAAAAAACAGGTGTAATTTTGGGGGGCCGGGAACCAATTAATTGGTTTTCCATTATTTCTTATGGGACAAATTCAATCAGAACTCGAACTTTTTAGGATTAGATCCGGAGTCTGGAACGGATTAAGTTCAAGAACCGTACAACTGTGTGTGTGTGTGTGTGTGTGTATGTATGTATATATACATATATATATACACACACATATATATACATACATATACATATATACATACATATACATATATATACACATATACATATATACATACATATACATATATATACACATATACATACATATACATATATATACACATATACATATATATACACATATACATATATATACACACATATATATATATACACACATATATATATACACATATATATATATATATATATATATATATATATATATATA